TAGGTCAGCCAACCATATTGTTTTTCGACTTCCCCAACTCCCTGTTCAGGCCCTTATTAGGAATGATACTAAGGAGTGGGATGTGCAACGTTTAAGAGACTATTTCCAGCCGGAGGATATCCCCTTAATCCTTGGCATTAAACCCTCATGTTCCTCTGGTCCGGATGGGTATATTTGGAACCATACAAAGACAGGGGTATACTCAGTTAAAACTGGATACGATCTATTGCAATCAAACAAGACGAGCCCTACACAAGATTTGGTCCTTGAACCAAGTATAACTGGCCTTTTGAGCCATGTGTGGAGATTGGAGGCCCCAAGCAAGATGAAACACTTTCTGTGGCAAGCTATCAAGGGCTGTGTGGCGACGGCAGAGAGACTCACCTTCAGACACCTGGGCACCGATAGGAGTTGTCCTAGATGTGTTGACCCAGTGGAGTCGATTAATCACCTTCTTTTTGAGTGTCCCCCAGCCGTGCAGGTCTGGGCTTTATCGGACTATCCGTCCATTCCGGGTGTCTTCCCGAGTACATCTTTATATCAAAATATAAATTTCCTTTTTTTGGAAAAGAAAAGAGGTGGCTCCTAGGAGACCACAATTCGACACCTTCCCATGGATCTGTTGGTACATTTGGAAGGCAAGGAACGACATTCTCTACAATGGGAAAGTCGTTTCTCCGATGGATACTCTCCAACATGCGTCTCTAGAGGCAGAATGCTGGAGGAAGGCAAATGAGAGGGAGAGGGACGAGGAGGTTTTTGAGGGTCCCCCCTTGGTAGAGGTTGCAATAGAGTCCCCTGGCCCCCCCCCCCAAACCATAACCTGCCAAATCGATGCTTCATGGACCGACAATGGTAGTGTCAGTGGGTTAGGGTGGAGCCTTAAGGATCAGATGGGCTCTGAATGCTTCGGATTACAGGCATGTAAGAGGAGCCGATCAGCCTTACATGCGGAGATGGAAGGTCTATTATGGGCAGTTTCATGTTTGAGACGTATGAGGTTTTCCTCGGTACGGATTGAAACAGACTGCTCGACCTAGTAGACATGTTTGCTAACCCGAAGGAATCGCCGGCCTTCGCGACAGAAATCGAGATGCTCCAACGCCTCCAGGAGGGCTTTGAGGACACGCGCCTGTACCATATTCCGCGGAGTAGGAATGTTCGAGCGGACGCGCTAGCCAAAGAAGCAAGAAGGAAAGGATATTTTTTTTCCCATGTAGATCAGATCAGGCCACACGGAGGTACTCCCCGGAGGATCGATTCGTATGGCTACCACTTGATCTAGACTAAATGGGCGGTCGACAAAAAAAAAAAAAAGAGATAAAAAAAGAACAAACCAATTACTAAACCAAATTAAATTTGCAAATCTAGCGATCGGTTCAGAGACAATACCGATTCGATTCTCGGTTCAAAACCACAGAGCTACAGTGTATATGATCTCTCACTCTTTCGATACAAACTAAGCATTTCTTCGTAAAGTCCGCCGAGATATCATATCAACCACTTCAATACTCTCTTTCTCTCTCTCTACCCTTCCTCCCACCTCTCCAATTCTTTGATCTTTCTCGGCGGAAACGAAAATGTCTCAGGTGGTTGCTACTAAGACGATTCAAGGCTCCATGTTGTGTCCCAACGGTGGATCTGTTTCCACGAGATCCGACAAGTTTCTGAAGCCCGCCAGTTTTGCAGTGAATGTTCTTGGAAACGAAGCTAAGAAGAGTGGAAGAGTCTCTGTAAGAGGCAGAAGAGCGGTTAATACTACTGTGAGATCCGCTCGTGTGGAGACAGAAGTCATTCCAGTGTCTCCCGAGGATGTTCCAAACGTATGTTTTCTGCTGAGAGTATATATTATTTTTTTTAAAACGTGGCTGAATTTTTAAAGAAAGCATTTCGCTTTAATTGTTTGGGTAGAAACAGAGTTGCTAAAGTGTCAGTTTTCGTTCACTTGGGTGTGTTTTGTAGTATGTTTCTTGTGTAGTCCCATGTTCTATATTACTGAGAGAATATTTCTTTTTTACTTTTTTTTTTTACTATGTGATTAGAGAGAGGAGCAGCTGGAGCGGTTTTTAGAAATGCAGAAGTTTAGTGACACATCAGTAGGGATGTGGTCGAAACCAACAGTAAGGAGGAAGACAAAGATTGTCTGTACCGTTGGTCCTTCTACCAACACGCGGGAAATGATATGGAAACTAGCTGAAGCTGGGATGAATGTTGCTCGGATGAACATGTCTCATGGGGATCATGCTTCACATAAGAAAGTTATTGATTTGGTTAAAGAGTACAATGCACAATCTAAGGACAACACCATTGCAATCATGCTTGATACCAAGGTTTGTTTATTTTCGCTGCCATTCTCTGTTTTACTTGACAGGTTATTTTATGTATTATCTTTGACGAAATGTTTTCATTGTTGTTAGGGTCCAGAAGTTAGGAGTGGAGATTTACCCCAACCAATTATGTTAGATCCCGGTCAAGAGTTTACTTTTACAATTGAGAGAGGAGTCAGCACACCAAGTTGTGTCAGTGTTAACTATGATGATTTTGTCAACGACGTGGAGGCGGGAGACATGCTCCTTGTTGATGGTATGTTCATCTCATTACTTGGTGTAAAAGGTTTTAGATCCCCTTTGGCGTATTATGAATTTGCTTTTTCGTTTTTCTCCAATATAGTGGGAGTGAATATAGACTGATTGGTTTATTCCTATGTTTCAGGTGGTATGATGTCGTTTGTGGTGAAGTCTAAGACTAAAGAGACTGTCATATGTGAAGTTGTTGATGGTGGAGAACTTAAGTCAAGGAGACACTTGAATGTCCGAGGGAAGAGTGCAACATTACCTTCAATCACTGGTTCGATCTTCTTTTCCACCCTCTTATTTAATTCTGATTGTCTGAATGATCTTGCTCTACTATATCTATTTTGTACTTCAGAGAAGGATTGGGAGGACATTAAGTTTGGAGTGGAGAACAAAGTTGACTTTTATGCAGTTTCTTTTGTCAAAGATGCACAAGTGGTACATGAACTGAAGAATTACCTCCAAGGTAATCACGTGAACTTTAATCCTTTTTGATTGCTTTGCCGATGATTATATTATTCTTTAATTTGTTCTGATGGTGATCTTTTTGTGTACAAACATTTGACAGGTTGTGGTGCTGATATTCACGTGATAGTAAAAATTGAAAGCGCAGACTCCATACCTAACCTGCATTCCATTATCACGGCATCAGATGGGGTAACTTTTCCCATCAACGTTCTTAGTTCTTCTATAACAACATGTTGGAGATTGTTATGTGAAACTATATATTTATAGGATTGTGGTTGCAATAAGTCCCGTGTTACCACAATCTAAATTTCAGAATGGAATGAGTCCTGTGAATGTGCTGCTTAATGATATGTGTGTACTTTTTCGACAGGCAATGGTTGCAAGAGGTGATCTTGGTGCAGAGCTTCCTATCGAAGAAGTACCCATTCTTCAGGTTAGCGCTTGCTTCATATTTTGAATAAACCATTTTTTTTTTTTTTTTTTTTGCAAATTCAACAGCTTTACAACATTCAAAATGTTCTTGCATTTAAAAATTTGGCACTGATATGCAGGAGAGGATCATTAACCTGTGCCGTAGCATGGGAAAAGCTGTTATTGTGGCGACTAACATGCTTGAGAGTATGATAGTTCATCCAACTCCAACCCGGGCAGAGGTTTCTGACATTGCTATAGCTGTTAGAGAAGGTGCTGATGCTGTAATGCTTTCAGGAGAAACTGCTCACGGAAAGTAAGTGCTTGATTATTTTTGTATAATCTGCTGATTTTAGCTTATACTCGTTTGGGTATAGAAAGTATTGAAGGGTTTATATACATGAAACTGATATTTATTTTATCAGGTTTCCACTGAAAGCTGCTGGAGTGATGCATACAGTTGCACTGCGAACAGAAGCCACCATTACTACTAGTAGTGAAATGCCAGCTAATCTTGGTCAAGCCTTCAAGGTAAGCTGCACCTGATTTCCTTAGTATTTATCTAACGTTGCTATCTAATCCATACTGAAAAGAACGATGTTTAAATCTATACAGAACCATATGAGTGAGATGTTTGCATACCATGCAACCATGATGTCAAACACACTTGAAACGTCAACTGTTGTCTTCACCAGAACTGGTTTCATGGCCATACTTTTAAGCCACTATCGCCCTTCTGGCACAATCTACGCCTTCACAAATGAGTGAGTAATCCATGTTTTTTATTCCAGAACAATGACTGACAACTGGTAGATTTAAAAACTCACGGTAGAGGTTTTTCTCTGCAGGAAAAAAATACAGCAAAGATTAGCCTTGTATCAAGGTGTGTGCCCCATATATATGGAGTTCTCAGACGATGCAGAGGACACTTTCACTAAAGCTTTGGCTACACTACTGGTAAAAATCTCTTTGAAAGAAAACTCAGTGTTGAAAACTAGATTTAGCTTTCTATTTTCTATTTCTGGAAAAATACGTACGGTTGATCTTTTGTGGATGTGGGAATTAAGAGTTTGAGTTGGTAACTTTTGGATGAACAGAAACAAGGAATGGTGAAGAAGGGAGAGGAAATAGCGATTGTACAGAGCGGGTCACAACCAATCTGGCGGTCTCAATCGACTCATAACATCCAAGTCCGCAAGGTGTAAAGCCTCTTAAAGAGTCTCAACATCTCATCTGGTCAGTTTGTTTTTTCGTTCATCTGTAAAACCGGTTTCGGTTAACTTTCGTTACTCTGAAACCTACTGTTTACTGTATCTTTTTCAGTTTGTTTTATTTGGCCGACGTTATTGTTAGCTCATTAGTTGTTTGTGACACAGATGTTAATTTAGATGAGTAATAAATGTATGAGAATCCTTTAATACACACCTATGCTGTTGTACTTGGGTAAATGTTACAGTACAAACAGAAGATGCAATTAAATAATAGTGTGAGGATTAAGGATCCCACTGTTCTTGGTATAGAGACTTGCCATGGAGAATTTCGTAAGATGGATATTCAAACTTCTGGTCTTGGCCATTTAATTCAATTAATTCGAACACAAATTATCCAAACTTCTCCTAACAAATCTCTAGTATTGGCAGGACTTCGTAATATTAAATACAAAGAGATTCCATATACATATAGGGTTTAGAGTACTTACTCCCTGTTTGCTGCAAAAATGTAAACAAATAAAAACTCTGCTCATTCCCATTTCCACTTTTGCTTCAAGCTTCATTTCATTGTAAGTGGACTTCCGTGTAGTCCTTATTTCCAGTCTCGAGTGTTTAAGGTATACAAAAAGGATTTACCTAAGAATCATCCTGAAACAAAGCCTTTGGTACTGAACTACGAGGCAGAGTCCCACACTCGTATTCATCTTTGTCATCAGTTCGTGTTCGTTTGTTATCTGCGGTCACTGGTGTCTCGCATACTCTGTCATATTCCACTGATCTTTGCTCTTTCTTCCTTTTAGCCATTCTCTTTTGCTGATCCACTTTATCTTTAGAGTTCTTAACTTGTTTCGGTGCCCAAACTCTACAAAGATCAGGCATCCAACTTGTGAAACTTGAGAATCTTCTTGCCCTTTCCCTCATTTCTTGTGCTTCAATCACTTTCTTAGCTTCTCTGCACTCCCTGGTCTCTTTCTTCTTACTCTTACCCGGAACATCTTTACCTCTTTGACTACGATGATGACTCTTGCCATTGCTATGGATGTTTTCTCTCCCTGATTGGCTACTGTCTTCATTGTTCATGAAACTATCTTCAAGATCCTCATCACTGAACATAAGCAGATCCATCTCTGTATAAATTATGCTGACAGCTTCTCCAAGAATATGCTGATACCTGAGAAGGGAAAGTCAACGCGTTAGCATGAATAACATACAACCCAAAACTACAATACCTTTTGATGATAGGATCCCACAGACCTGGCTTTTATGATTTTGTCAACATACTTATCAAGGCTCCAATCACTAAAAAATCCACCGTCTAACTTGCACTGAATGGCCTCAAGAAGCATGCAAATCTGTTTTGCAAACTTCTGAATCACAGACTCGTCACTTCCCAAACCTATCTCTGATCTTAGAATCTCCATTCGGAAAAGAATCTGCAGCTCGTATCTTATAGCTAATTAAAGAAAACAGAACAACAATGCCCAAACAACTTGGATAAATTTAAGAAAGCATCAGTAAATGGCACCAAGTCAAAGCATACGAATAAGTTGGTTAGCGTAATCAGACAGAAACAAAAAGGATACTCTCTAATGATGCTACTGGGTGAAGCTTCATCAGACTTCTGCTCACTTTCCGTGGATGATGAATGTTTCCTTTTAAACTTGGCAACTAAATCTTTCGGTTCTTTCAGTAACCTCTTGGTTAGCTCCTCTGTGACCAACAAGAGAGTTCCACTCTCACAGCTATAATCCTTCTCAAGTATTTCAGAGGAATGGAGGAGACAGGACTTGACAAGCCGCTCTGCCAGAGCTGCCAAGTCTATTTCCTCAGACTCAATGCCTTTCTTGATTTTACTAGGAAGACTAGCAAAGAAAACTTCTGATGACTCTGATGCTACAACAGATGTGTCAGTCTCCTGCCTTACGGATATACGATTTCCACTCAAAGCAATCTCCTCCTCGGATATAGGTAAGGAGATAGTATTTTCTGTCTCTTCAGATGAGTTGTGCTTTTTCACAATTGGAACTGCTTCCACATCCTCCTGTGCAACGGATAAGCTGCAACCTCTCGGCTTCCTAATCTGTTTCATCCAACATTTCAGAAACTTATATTTTTTGGAGTTGCTAAACTTGGAAAAATATATATCCTCTAGATCTATTTGACCATAAACTTTCACTGATCTGCAGAAATCCTCCCAGCTAATGTCATGAAGTGAGTTCAGAATCTTTTTGCTTAGTTTTCTTTTATTTTCGCGAGAACTGACCTTACTGATATCTTCATGATCCACAGTTTGAGGAGAGACTTCATTGTCAAAAACACAGATTAAAGCCGAGGAGAAAGTGAATGGCTTGAGGATTCCTGTGCGAGAACTACCATTGCTATTTGTTAGAGATACCAAAGCTGAGTAACCTTCCCTATAGAGATAACTTAATAAAATCTGCCAAACCGGAGATGATCTTTTAACTACTTTCTCACCCGTCTCCTTCTCTAGTATCTGAAACAACCGATCAGCCCAAAATCCACTCTCCAGTTCCGGATATTGGTCAGATTCCTGAGAGAATTCGTGAACAACAAAAGTATCACAAATATACCTCTCGAGTTCAATAAGATCATCAACCATCCTCAGGGATTTAATACTGAGTTTGGTGATTCCATTACATAATAGTTCAGTTAGAGATTTCTCAGGAGCAGTTCCCAAGTTGACGAACTCATCACACCTCTTCCCACTAAATATCTCAGACGAAGAAAACTCTAGCTCACCGCACTTGCACTCTATAGGCTTACCATCAACATCAGCAATCTCAAGACTAGCCTGAGCAGTAAACTTCCGACTAGTAGATAGCTTAAGAGAAATACCAATGGTTGGATATATCAATCCAAAGGGAACGATTGAAGAACCATACACAACTGAATCAGTAGAGCAATGTCCCCAACCCAAATCTCTAACTCCACTATCAAAAAACTCAGACTTTAATAGTCCCAATTCACTAAAGCTATCTCCACATCTAACATCAACCCAGCTTAAGTGAATATCTCTATCATCAAACAAGTCATTCACACACTCAAAAACCTCCACTAACTTGGACTTAAACAAACACTCGTCACCACTCTTAACATCTAAAAACTCAGAAACCCAATTCAAATCCCTAGAAATTGGGGAAAACATCAATACTAAATTCGACCTAACGACATCGACTCCTCCACCATCGGCGAACCCAGGAATCATACCTATCTCCGGATCTCGCACCACCGGCTCCCAAGCGTAATCGTAAACGATCTGTCGCAAAGACGCCGCGACGTTGACTCCACGAGGCGACGCGGCTGTGGAGGAACTCGATCGAAGCTCGCATCGGCATCGCTTGACGGCTTCGATGGCGCGTCTGAGGGAGACGAGAGTAGGGCCGGGGAGGTCGAATGAGAGGTTGGAAGATGGAATCGTGAGTGCGGAGAGCTTCGAGGAAGATAAGAGAGAGGATAGAGACGAGATGAAGAACTTGAAAGAGAAGAGAGAAGCTGAGAGTGGTGGGAAGGAGAGAAGCTTCTCGGCGGCGGAGATCACGACGGCTAGGTATTGATCCGAAGTGGGTGTGAGAAGAAGGGGTTGGAGATCTATGAGGAGGACGATACGCTGCGTTTTGGCGTAGTATAACAAATCTCCAGCCATTGAAAATGAGAGAGAGAGAGAGAGAGGTATTGATTTTAGATTTTGAGGGTTTAAAAGGAAGAGAGGAGGGAGCCACTGTTTTGGCGGTAAAATATTTTGCCACGTCATTAAGTTTGCAAAGCATTTCATTTTTTTTGATCAAGCAAGCAACGCATTCTCAAAGGTGGAATGCTATCTAATTCTATCTAATGTTGGCACAACAACTAGATTGAATTCAAGAGGAATGAATTTATACCCTATATGCCAAAGGTGTGGTTTGGAGAAAGAAGCAATTAATCATTGCTTTTTTGCATGTCCGGATTCAATCTCCTTTTGGAGATTATCAAATCTACCGTATACATCTCAACTATTAACAGTTGATTCTATTGACGATAAAATCTCATTCCTCATACAACTTCAAGGAGAAAAATCTTTGTCACTCAATCAACGTTTATTACCTTTGCGGCTCGCTCCTATGGTGTATCTGGAAAAATAAAATTTCTCTTGTATTTAGGAAAAAGATATTGGGATTTTTACAAATTTGACTCAAAACTCAAAGTCAAACACAAAACTAACCTTTCTTGTTTTTTTGATTTTTGATTTGTCTTATTCACCCCATCTGTTCATATTATTTACGAAAATGCCATTACACTTTTTTTTTTTTTAAATTGTTTTTTTACTCTCTCAACCTCATCATCTTCAAGTATTTACAAGATTGACATTGCCATCAATACCCTAACTACCATGAACAACCAATTTGAAGCTCTTAATGCACATAAAATCGATTTACACACTCTCTTTCTCAATTGTTATGGACTAAAAACAACATCTCTTTCACTTTGTCTCCATATTCATACAAAAAACTCAAGCTTTTGATTCAAAATTTTGTATGGTTGATAGAGCCATTTAAGCATACAATTCTTGGTGTGTTACTTTCATTTGATAATCTGGGTGGTTGGAGAAGACTTTGTGTGCTAAGAAAGTCATCTCACTTAGTTTAAGGTATAAAATTGAAATTTTTTCCAGATTTGTTCGCGTAGAAGACTTACTCGTAAGTCTTCTGGATGAGCTGGACGACTTACTTCTAAGTCTTCCAGCTTTGTATGTTAAAAAAAAAAAATCTGACACAATTCGGTCAAATGCAAAACTAGCCCGTTTTTCCTAGACGACTTACTTATAAGTCGTCTAGTTTTTTTTTTTTTAACATACAAAGCTGGACGACTTAGAAGTAAGTCGTCTCATTTAAATTTCAATTGCAAAAATGACCTGTCTGGACGACTTACTTGTATGTCGTCTGCGTCAATGACTAATAATTAAGTCATCTGGAAAGTCTTCCAGCTGGATGACTATCCAGACGACTTAATTATTAGTCTTCTACTAAGTCGTCCAGACTTTATGAGTATGTATTAAGAATTTGTGTTAGTCTTCTTAGATGACTAATAATTAAGTCATCTGGAAATTCTTACAACTAGATGACTTTTCAGAAGACTTAATTATAAGTCATCTGGAAAGTATTCTAGCTGGATGTTTTATCTTCTTTGAATTTTACTAAGTTTTCTTGGTTGAATAGAGTGATAAAAATATTTGATCAAATCCCGTAATGTTTGATCTTCTGTGAATTTTACTAAATTTTCTTGGTTGAATAAAGTGATAAATATTTTTTTGAATTACTTGTATTTTTAAAAGTGTTAAATAACTTCATGATATGTAAATCTCATATTTTCAAAATATTTATTCTCCCTTAATTTTACTAAATTTGACTAAGTTTTTCAACACAACCTTGTAAAAAATGTAATATGCTTTAACACCAATGATGATTTGTTGGAAGAAAGATTAAAATGCTTCTTAAAATGTTGTATCAATACGAGGCTACCAACATTCTTGTTTGTTAAGATGAGTAGAAAGCCATTGTGATTTATTATTGCATATGGGAGATCTAAAAGATGAAAAAAGCTACTGAAGTCTATTATTTCATTGATTTGTACATGTGTAAACACATTGTTAGCACATATATTACATCTTGGGAACTGATTTTACAAAACTATAATAGATCATTCCTTTACAAAGACAAGCTTGGACTCCACTTGATATGAAAGAAGACAGCGTCAGAAAACTTTCAGAAAGTCCAGAAAACTTCCAGACAACTTCCAGACGACTTACAAAAATTCCAGATGACTTACAGGAATTCCAGATGACTTACAGGAATTCCAGACGACTTCCAGGTAAGTCGTCCCAGAAGTCTTTCGAGAAGACTTACAAGTAAGTCGTCCAAAAGACTTACAAGTAAGTAGTCCAGAAGACTTACAAGTAGTCGTCCAGAAGACTTACAAGTAAGTCGTCCAGAAGACTTATAAACAAGTCGTCCAGAAGACTTACAAGTAAGTCGTCTAGAAGACTTACAAGTAAGTCGTTCAGAAGACTTCTAGATCTGAAAAACCTGCATTTGAAGCCCAGATCTGAAAAACCTGCATATCAAAAAACATTCAAATGGCTTAAAACACACAGAAAATTAGTGAAAGATTAGATATATATATATACTTTTATAGAACAGATAACATACATATCCAAATGAAGATGAGAACCATCTGATTAAAAACTTGCAAAAAAAAGATAGATTAGTGAGAAAAACATCAGACATAACTGAAAAATTCATATGAAGTTAATAGATTTATCTTTAAATGAGTGGAATATGAGAATCATGTGATGAAAAACCTACAAAACAAGATAAGTTAATGAGAAAGACATGAGACAAAAACAATAAATTAATATAAAGTTTGGTGTTTATAAGTTCAAAGAGATTATAGAGAGTTCTAGAAAGATGGACATTATATTTTTTGTTGCAGACATTTGAGAGGAGGAGAGAGAATGTGTAAATTTTTCTTTATATAAGGAAACAAAAAAAAAAAATTAGGTTAAATATTTTCGATTCAGATGACTGAAATGTAAGTCGTCCAGGAGACTTTAATAATTTTAGCGGGAAACTAAAATATTTCTAGCGAGAAACTAAAATAGAAGACTTTCGAGAAGACTTACAAGTAAGTCGTCCAGAAGACTTACAAGCAAGTCGTCCAGAAGACTTACAAGTAAGTCGTCCAGAAGACTTAGAAGTAAGTCGTCCAGAAGACTTATAACTAAGTCGTCCAGAAGACTTTCAAGTAAGTCGTCCAGAAGACTTACAAGTAAGTTGTCTGGTTTAAATTATTCAAGCGGGAAAATAATTTTTTAAAAAAATTTAGGCGGGAATATTAGTACGACTTACTTGTAAGTCGTCTGTGTAAAATTATTTACCAGACGACTGATATCAGTTGTCGAGACCCTAAACCCTAAACTAAATTGACTAAATTAACTAACTAACCACGTTATATAATCAAATTATACTTAAATAGTGTTTACTATACACAGAAATAAACACACTTACGTAAATCTTAATTTTTCAAAAAAACATTTATGCTTTTGAAAATCTAACCCTAAGAAACACATACACTACTACAACATATATTGGTGAAACCTAAACTAAAGAATATCATGACTCACTAGTTTCACTCATCTATGCTGAAAACAACTGACTTTTGTTATATCTTAATTTATATCTCTTAAGACATATGTTAATTACATAATCTCAATTTTTCATTTATCAAGATATTTATTACACAATTTTTAAATTATTTTTAAGAAAAACTGTCCCAGACGACTTTAAGTTAAGTCGTCTGGACGACTTAGTTGAAAGTCGTCTGGGCAGACGACTTACGAGGACTAGAAACGTAAAAAAAAATACCATTTTTTTGTTTGTTCACAAGGGATTGGTTGTAATTTCAATAGCCTTTAAAATTACTTTTGCATTTGAGTCATATTTGACAATTTTCCCAAACATATTCTCACATAGTGTCACGGTCGATAATGCTTGTGCGGATATTCAGCAATGGATATCAAATGTCTGTTTGTCATCCTGAGATAGGTTTCTTAACATGTAATTATGATGTAACTTACAATTTACATACAAGTCAAGTGTGGGGTGCATGGATTGTTCGGAATAGTCAATGTCAACCGGAACCGTGGGGATCAGATAGTTTAGGTTTGGCCCAATCGAGTTTAGCAGCAAAAGCAAAAGCTCTATTTGTGGCAATGCTGAACGTTTGGACATGGGCATTTCGTAATGTCATATTTGAAGGGACTCGAGAATTTTTTGGTAAAATCAGTTAATGGCTAGAGCAACTCTCATTGTGACTATCAACTTAGCTCAGCAATAATTCAAATAATGATCATCCACTCGCGATTGTCAACTATCATAGATCATGTTTCTAGTAAATTACTCTAGAAAAGAAGCAGTAAAAACAACCATGATGAAAGAATCAATATAACAACCCTACCAGTTTTATAAGATCATCAAAACCTAAAAAACCCAAACCCTAACCCAAACAAGTAAAATTCTCGCACATATTCACATAAAAATAAACCGAATGAATTGCATTATTTTAATAAAAATAGATAGAAATACTAAAATTCCAACAAATATCTGAAGGAGTCTTGTAATCTTCTCTTCAAAAACTTCTTTAAGAAATATTAAAAGTTTAGCCTAAATAATGACTCTAAAATAAAATATTTAGGTCTAAAAGTTGGTCAGGGGTTGTTTTGTAATTAGTAGAAACTTCTGGGGCAAAGTTGCGATCCTGGAAATAGAGTCGGCTTATGATCTCACATTGGTGTCGATCTACACTCCTTCCAAATATCAATTGTGACTTCTCTTTCCTTGCACAATTATGGGTTTCTTTCTTTTAAATCTCTAGTGGCTCCATCATCTCCATCTTACTGCATGCAAAACGTACCTAAACCTAAAAACACCTTAAAATAGACTTGAAATATAATATAAAGACTCTATAAAGGACTTATACCAAGTCTGAAAAGTGGTAAACCATATTATATCAGTCCCGAACTCCCCACGCACAACTGAAAACACAATGACTGTTCATCTACAATTTTAGACAGTTTATTATCTTCAAATTCTAAGTTTTTAATGTGTGAACTCAAATAGCTGGAAATCGCTATATGTAGCTTTTCTCAATAAAGTGAAGTTTTAACAATGTACTCTTTTCAACAAATTATCTAAACTCTTTTCATCTTGTCTTAGTAAATTATGTATAGTTTTATAATTACAAATACATCACCGTAAATGGTTTTGTTATCTATCTTAACTTGGCTTATCATGTAAACTATTATATCAAAACTTACTAGCAACACCAATACGGCTCAAAAAAAGATTTAAACTTCAAAAGAGTGTCTTCAGATAACTTGTCACTAAATCTGTAAATTTAAAATTCTTTGAACTTCACCCATATATCTTCCGGGACTATAACGTTTAGATATTAAAACACAAAATATGTTAATTATAAAACAATACAATAACATACAAGGGAAAAATATCTTTAGTATTTTCATCTTACACATACATATATAAAATATGATTTTATTACAATAATGCAAAAAAGAGTGGCAAAGGCGTTAATAATGTTGGCCGTTTCTCTTTAACATCCAAGGATGTGTGCTTGCAATCTCGACCTCATTTCTTTCTGGAAAATTTGAAAATATTGAAGCCGAATGCTGCAAGGCGTTTTTAAGTTTAGATGCAAACTGTAGGCTTCATATGTTTCCTTTGAATCCTTTTTTCCCTCATCTCCTCAAGGAAAATTGTGCGCATATCATCCCTAACTCCCCTGCACAAAACTGAAAGCAGAACGATTGTTTATCTACAATTTTAGACTAGTTTATTAGCTTCAAAGTCTAAGTTTTTAAAGTGTGAACTCAAATAGTCGGAGAGCCCTATATGTAGCTTTTCTCAATAAAGTGAAAATTTAGCAATATATTATTTTTAAAATATTATTTCCAATGTGTTTTTTACATTATACATAGTTTATAATTACAAATAAATCACTTTAAATGAATTTTTTATCTATCTTAACTCGGCTTACCATGAAACTATTATATGAAAACTTACTAATATTAAAAAACGATTAGAAAGGATTAAATTTCAAATGAAGTGACCTCAGATAAATTGACACAAATATGATCTATAGGCCTTAAAACGTCGAAATTAAAAAAAAATTTAGCGGCAGTTGCCAACGTTTTATGCAAGGGAAAGAAAAGATAACTCATATTGTTAAATTAAATCTGCAAATTTTTTTAAAAAAACTTAACTTCACACTAATATCTTTCAGGCCTAAAACCTTTATATACTAAAAACAAATATGTTAACCATAAAGCAATACAGTAAGACATTAGGGAAAAAACATTTTTAGATTTTTATCTTACTCATACATATAAAATATGAGCTTTATTACAATACTGATATCAAAGAGTGGCTTCAGCCTAAATGTTTTTAAGAAAAATCACAAGCATGATATTAAGTTTCCACTCATATAGCTGTTATATAGGGACAATTACTTTCTTTTTTCTAGTACTATTATCATATTTCTTATTACTTTGGCCATCTAAATGTAACCAAATTCTTCTGTCTCATTAGAGTGTGCATCAAAATATTCTTAACTTCCATAAAACATTACAACCTTTGGAGAGTCTCCTATATGTAGATTTTCTGAATAAAGTTAAATTATAACTAAATTTATTTCAACATATAAGAAAATAACTACCATTCTTACCAATGTGTCTTGCTAAAATTATGTATGAGTACTCTAGTCACTATATATATATATATATATATATATATATATATATATATATATATATATATATATATATATATTGCTTTTTAAAATAGGTTTGTTATCCATCTTAAGTCAACTAACTTTGTAAACATTTATATTAACATTCAGGAACAACACAACAACTACTTGAGTTAACCATTCTTTCATTCTCCTAATAAATAAAAAATACTCATAAATTTAAATGATGTGACTATAATTTATCAACTATAATTTGAGAGGCCTTTAACTGTCGAGACAAGTCTTATTTTATTGGCCTTTTTGGTTTACACAAATGATGAACAAAATATAAATAAAAACTATAAATATATATTTTGAAGTATATATGAAAATAACATAGATTATTTTAGAAAAAACTGATTGATTATTTGATCTTGTGTACAAAATTTTCCAAGTTGGGTAAGATGAACTCCATCATATTATATACCTATACTAACTAAACCTCTACACCTTTTTCTCAGTTAAAACAGGGTAGGAGAATCAATTTGGAGCGAAAGAAAACTAGTTTAGTTAATTAGCTTGCACACATTCACATATATTAATTAAATAATTACTTTCATTATAATATTAATATGAAAGAGCAGTATAAGAATAACAATAACTAATCATACTTACATGGTTGTCACCTTTTCACAATGACAGTAAATTTATGTCTCTCGTCCTATCTTTTACTCATTAAAATAACCATGCAAACACTAAGTGAAATATTACATACAAAGCTTTGGTTCACTACATAATTTTATATTCAAAATTATTCTGTACATTAGAGCATGCATGAAAATAGGCTTAACTACCATTACGCGTTACAACCTTACCCAGATTCTAAACATTACAACCTACTTGTCCTTAAGTCCTCCACAAAAAATTGTAGAACGTGACTGGTATTTTACACGCGGTTGAATAAAGTAATATAACAAAGGTGGATTGTATTAAACTGAGACTCTGTTATAAAGGTTAATAAAAATAATAATAACAATAAAAACAGTGAGTCAAAATAACCTTCAGATCTTCTTTCTGATGAGGTAAAAATAAAAATATTGTTATTTTAGTCAATGAAACTTAATGCAAAAAAGTGTAACACATAATACATTAAATAGAAACATGAGTTTCATTTTGAAACTAGGTTTACAACTGATAGGTTTCTCTTTAAATTCTCTGATAACATATTGTATACTCATCCTATATATTCTAAATATCTTTTCATTTCCAAATCCATCCGAGCTTCTACGCACAAACCAAAAGAAAAACGACAAGAAAAAAAAAAGAGTAACCTAGAAGATGGGAAGCAAAGCTGTTTTCTCAGTCTACAAAATCCGCAGGGGATTCCAGGAATTTTTCCACCTGGCTTAGTACCCGTTGATCTCGTAAAATGTTGGTCGTCTCTCTTTAACATCCAAGGATGTGTGCTTGCAATCTCGACCTCATTTCTTTCTGGAAAATTTGAAAATACTGAAGCCGAATGCTGCAAGGCCATTTCAAGTTTAGATGCAAACTGTTGGCCTCATATGTTTCCTTTGAATCCTTTTTTCCCTCCTCTCCTCAAGGAAAATTGTTCGCATATCATCCCTAACTCCCCTGTACAAAACTGAAAGAACAATTGTTTATCTACAATTTTAGACTAGTTTATTAGCTTCAAAGTCTAAGTTATTAAAGTGTGAACTCAAAAGTTGGAGAGCCCTATATGTAGCTTTTCTCAATAAAGTGAATATTAGCAATATATTCTTTTTAAAATATTATTTCCAATGTGTTTTTTTACATTATACATAGTTTATAATTACAAATATATCACTTTAAATGGATTTGTTATCTATCTTAACTCGGCTTACCATGAAACTATTATATGAAAACTTACTAATATTAAAAACACGATAAAAAAAGAATTAAATTTCAAATGAAGTGACTTCAGATAAATTGACACAAATATGATCTATAGGCCTTAAGACGTCGAAATTAAAAAAAAAATTTTACCGGCAGTTGCGAACGTTTTATGCAAGGGAAAGAAAATATAACTCATATTGATAAATTAAATCTGCAATTTTTTTTCAAAAAACTTAACTTCACACTAATATCTTTCAGGCCTAAAACTTTTATATATTAAAAACACAATATGTTAACCATAAAGCAATACAGTAAGACATTAGGGAAAAAACGTTTTTAGATTCTTATCTTACTCATACAAAGAAAATATGAGCTTTATTACAATACTGATATCAAAGAGTGGCTTCAGTGTAAATGTTTTTTAGAAAAATCACAAGCATGATATTAAGTTTCCACTCATATAGCTGTTATATGGGGACAATTACTTTCTTTTTTCTAGTACTATTATCATATTCCTTAGTACTTTAGCCATCTAAATGTAACCAAATTCTTTTGTGTCATTAGAGTGTGCATCAAAATATTCTTAACTTTCATAAACCATTACAACCGTTGGAGAGTCCCCTATATGTAGATTTTCTCAATAAAGTGAAATTATAATTAAATTCATTT